CTCAAAATAAATGTATCTGGACATAAAATGGCAGCATGTGTTTCCACTAAACTCGTACATTTTCCATGCTTCTATAGGATGTCACATAATTGTACCTTCCCATTGCTGTCTGGCCCCGGGGGGGGGGGAGGGGGGAAGAACCACATTCTTGAGAGGGTGCCCCAAATCCAGTTAGTAAGGGTAAGTCATGCTCTTCCAAGTAGTTTTGCATGGAGTTGTAGAACTTCCTCCTACCCATCCACTCTACTACTCCCTTTATAGTAACCAAAGTGATCTTTTAAACACAAATCTGACACACTCCTCTGCTTGAACCTCCCCTCCCAACCAAGCCTGTCCTTTAATGAATATTCTAAGGATCTTGACTTAAATGATTACTAGTTTTCTCAAGTTGTCCTTCATGACTTTTCCCAACAATGCTTAATGTCCATCTCCACTGCTAGATTGTAAGCTTGAGAGCTATGTCATTTTACTTTCTTCTGCCATTCAGTCTGGCCTGGTAGGTAATGCCTGCCAAATGACAAGATTTTGTTTTTCTTTTTGAATCCAAGCCTTAGAATACCAGGCAAATGATATACCACTTAACTACAACCAGAGCCAAGTAGTAGCTTTAAAATAACTTTCCTGTCATAGCTACCTTCAACAAATATTGTCAAATACCAATACAGCATTAAAGTTTATATGGTAGCCACTAAAAGTTCTAGTTCATTTCATTCAACTATTACTAAAGGACCACAACTATTTACCACATGTAAGCGATACAGTATTCACTCTTCAGTCTTTTTCTTTTGGTGGTGCTGGGGATTGAACCCAGGGACTCTTATATGCTAGACAAATGCCCTGCCACCAGGCTACTACTTCCCTAGACTCAATTTCCTCAGCACCTACTTTCTTAACATTCAATATATTTTTATCACACACATTTGATAGTTACTCATAGCACTTACCCAGTGTCATTTGCTTAAATGCACCTAATACTTATCTAAACTTGACTTGTTACAATACACACTAGTATCCTAGTACACACTATGCCTGACTTCACATACCTCCCAAATCCATGTACGGTTCTCATCCCTCTTGCTTATCTTCCTTCAGAAAACTAACATGGCCATTCTGGTGAGTTACTGCTTTGTAGTTTGTAACATACTTTTGTGTTTCCTCTTTATAATTCTGAAAGGCAAATCTTAGTGCACCCATTTTACAAATGAACAAATTGAGACTCAGGTAACAGTTACCTTGTCTAGTAAATGGATAAATTCTTAAGGACTTGAATTCAAGTATTTGAATCTTATGCTATTTTCATCAGCTATGGTCCTGTGTCAGCTGTTTACCTGAAATGCAATAATTTATTTCTATGCATCAAACTCCTTTGACATTTAAAGAAAAATTATAGTACAAAGGTTGTGGTGAGAACAGAAGGCTACTTTAGTTATATTGGTTTGTTTATATGTAAAGTATGAATTCCTCATCTCTCTTCACTACAATGTCTTGCCGTGTTTACTTTTCAAAAACTAACCCTTTATTCAGGTTGGCCTCCTCAAGTGTCTTCTTTTACCTCAGCTTATAGTTTCAGAAAGCAAGACTATCTTCCTAAGACCATTACTTTGGTAACTAAAAGACCTAGAGTCTAGTTGCAGCACTGTGATCTTGGGAAGGTGCTGTTCTAGACCCATTTTCCTTATCTGCAAAATAAAAAACCACACTTAGAAGTTTGAGTTTACTTCTAGTGTATTTTTCTTGGTAGTGGTATTTGGGGTTTGAACATGGGGCTTCATGCTTGCTAAGGGCAGGCACTCTTTTATCACTTGAGCCACGCTTCTAGCCCTACTTCTAGTTAAAAAACTGGATTAACTTAGTTTGTACCATTTTGTATTTCTTAAAACTAATTTTTATAACATTTTGTTATGTAAACTGGCTTACGAACTTGGGAAAGCTTTGTGTTCACATACAATCATAATCACGTGAGAATGCCAAGGCTTGGGGGTATAGCATGCCACAATGTTAACTGAGTCTAGGTTTCTCAGAACAGACTGGTCTTAGGTCACAGCACTGAGGCTTGTTTCCTTATCAATTTTTCTGATCCACAGCTTTCTATGGTCCTTACAAGTTTGTTCTGAAGATCAATATCAGAAGGGAAAGTAATATGGGGGAAAACTGTGTACTTGTAAACTAAACAGCACTGTACAAATAAATTATTAGAAATTATATTGTTTCTGAGGGCTGATAAAATGTCATCAAAGAAAAGTGCTTCCATAAAAATTTTATTTATCCCCACAACAACCCTGTGAGGTAGGGTGATCAGGGCATTTGAGGATGAGAAAACTAACTCTACATGACTTGTTCATGGCTATACTGCATAGCAAATAAGTAGAAATTAAATTGAGACTTTTAAATGTCCATGACTTTATACTGATTCATGTGGATGGAAACAGGTAGAAAAGAAATTAACTTCTCCTTTACCTTAACGCCAAAAGGACACTGCCTTGAAAAATCCCACTTCAAAAGATGATAGTAGTATTTCATTGCTTATTTCTACAAAGATTTATAAAATAAAAAAATAGTGAAATATTTTAGTTAATATATATAATGGTCTCATTCAGGGACATGTCCTTCAGCTGTGTGTATGATCAACTATTCCAAGTCCTAGAAATGGAAACTCCCAAAAAAGTATGAAAGACAAAACTGATAATAAGCAGTAGCCTCAATCTTCTTTATTATGCCTCCATGTATCTTGAATAAGTTCTGTGAAATCTGGTCCCAGTTAATTTAAAAAAAAAGAAAGAAACAAATATTCAACCACAGAGATGTCTGATAAATGTTTATTTTGTTGCCTACTCTCAAACCACTGTCACATTATTTAAAACAGAGATTTCCCAAACCTGTCCATTAGAATCATCGGGAGAGCTTTAAAAATATAGTAGCCTCAGGCCCCACTCTAGACATAAGACAGTTTTCAAGGGACAGGCTTCAGGAATCTGTATTTTAAAAGCTCCTCAGAGTAATTCTAATGAACAGTCAGATTTGGGAACCACTGATGTATCTTAAAATCCTAATATCAAAACCATAAGCTACTATAAACTTGTTGCTCTCTTAACCCTTACTTAAAAAGATCTCAAAACATGTTATATCCCCAGAGCTCTTACATCTGGGCAAATAATTTCAATTCAAGATACAAAGAAACATTTTATAAAAATGTATCCTAGTTAGTGAGACTTGGATTCCAATAATAATTTAAGTAGTGTTTAAATATAAGTACTGAGTTTGGTTCTTATTCTGAAATTTTTAAATGTATTTTATACAAATTCTTAGCAGGCTTTCAACTCAGGGAAGACATGAAAAGTAATGACATAATCAAACACATCAGCACTGAAAAAAATACTATACTCAAATATAGCTCATGAGAGGAATAAGAAAGTGAATGAATGATAACCTAAGGCCTTTTGGCCCATACATTTTTGTTCCCAGTCCACTCTTCCCCTATAAGGGGAAATAAAATAAACATTCTTTCCTAGTTGCTTGGCATAGTTATTCGGTGGGTAACTATTAACTAAGTTAATCTAGACACACAAGATTAAAAGAGGTAACAAATAAATACCTAGGAAGACAGAGAAGTCAGGTCAGAAAACCTTAACTAGCTAATGATGTAGTATAACACCATATTAGTACAAGTAAGTGAAGGCTTCAGTGTCCTTTACATTTCAGATTTTATGTGACTGACACAGATGTGGTCCTTATGAAGAATTCTGTGCTCGCTGGAAAGATTTGTAGGAATATAATGAAATGCTTTCTTCATTGATTGAGATGAAGTCTCTTTTTCAGGCAAGTTGACAACAAAACAATGAGAAACAAACTTCTTTAGAAGGTTGAATGAAAGTAAAATCTAGTTGAAAAAGTCAATGGCAAATAACTTTAAAAAAAAAAAACACTCTATGTTAATCCTAAGAAAAACAAACAAAAATACCCCAGAGATATATATGTATATAAAAAAAATGTACACATCCATTTCACTGACAGTTACAAGAAAATAGCTGTTTATAGAAGTTACACAATGCTTTCAACAAATCCCAAAGCAATTTTGGGAAACAGGTAAAGCCAATGGATAAATAAATATACATACTAGCTAATATAAAACAATTTATGATTACGAATTGTCATCAGTTCTCTTTTAGGACTCAAAGAGAAATAACTGATAAATCTTATTAGGGCTACATATATTACATGGAATTAAAAAACAACTAAAAAAACATTTTCTCTAACAATGATACAAATATTTAAAAGAATGTCATAAAAGTCAGACATTTATCACTGGAAATAGCACAATTTTAATAGGTACTTCAGAGCTGTAATGTCACTTCTGCTGTGTCTCATCATGGATCCATCTCTCTTGCATTATTACTACAGTCATGTTTCCTGTATGAGCTGATGGGCTGGGCACATCTCAGTTCAAAAAATACACACCTCCAGTTAATTAACTAAATGGAAGTGTTCAACATCTAGCAATAGATAAAGAAAGGGGGTAATGGGAAGATGAAACATTAAGGTGATCATTTCTTTGTAATTTAATTTAAATTTTCCAAATAAAGTAATGGAGAAAATAATATCTTAATGTGGTCTCGAGAAATCTTCTCAGGCCATATAAAATTTCCCTCAGCTTATTCTTTATGGAAGCTTGTTATGCTTGTTTTATTTACCAACCAACTTAAGGGACTCTCCTAGCACGGGGATTAAAACAACTTTACCATTAATAAAAGATGATTAAAAGTTGTCTTTTTACTATTATATTAAAGTGCCCACAGGCACAATAGTTTGTAGGTGTTCACATTTCCCTTAATTTACGGGAAGGCCCTCTGCAACTGTATTCACTTAATCAGGAAAACTTTTCAGCAATTATGATGCATGCTGAAAGTTCAGATCTTGTAGAAGTCTGGGGTTTTGCTGTTCGAGCATAACAAGGGAGCAGGGAGAAATGTAACTAGGTTCACAATTTTGAGCAAGAGCATATGTAAAGGTAACGTATGTACATTTTATTTCAAGAAAGACATAAGACAAACAGCATAAAGATGCCCAGATGCCCTAAAGATAAATACATTTCAAAGATTCTCATTAAAATGAATCTGTAGTATTTTTCCTGCAAGCAAAATACCTTCCTTTAAATTAAAAAAAAAAAAAATCAGTATTCTGAATTGCAAATGTTTTGCTTTTTTTTTTTTTTGCAGAAAATCTGCCATGATTATTTTTTTAATGAATAAGGATTTTCCACAAAACAGGCTTGCTCTACATGCTAGATTTTTAAACAGTTCAGTGACACAATATGCTAACTACATACACAACAGATAATATAGTAAGAAAACACTCAACCTGATGAAAAGTTAAAATCTTCATTAATACACTGAAAACTGACATAACTCATGCCTTTAAAATCAAAAATACAAAAATTAAATGTTTTCCTAAAAAGATTTCCTTATTTTAAGGATTCATTTGAAAATGAAGCTGCATGTAATTTGTACAGTAAGTTGTACAAGTAAACAGGTAATATACATAAAAAATTAACTGACATACTCCTCAATTATCAGTTGTCCACCTTTAATTTCCAATACTGTACTTTCTTAACAAGCATACAAAATATCAAACTTCTCTTTAGAAAAAGTGCCGTTCTTTGACATCCTTTACACAAAAACAGTCTGAGCCTGTGGCATGTTAATGCAGTTGAGAGGCAAAGCATACTAACTTTTACAAATTCTACCTTCCATAAAAAGCTCCCGAAAAGGAGATTACACGCCACTATAAAAATATCAACCTCTTGTGGTAGCTGCACTAGAGAACCAAGGCTTGAAGACTATTTTCATGTAGCATAGAAAACCACTATGAGAGCATATTAACTGCATTGGTGGCTTGGGAGTGTACTGTGCCACAGGATTATGCATAGCTACTGTTAGGTACCAAGACTGTTACACAGAGTTTTAAATTGATTGTAACCAGGAGCATAACAGAGGTACTACCAGCCCATGCAAAGTAACTAAAAATACTGAGTCACTGTGCTGAATACTTCGTTCCTGGAGAAAACCAAAGGCAGCAGTAACTAAATCAAGCCCAACAGGTGACTGAACTCATTCTCCTCAAAGATTGGTGAGCACAGTGAAGTCTGAGGTATACCTTTATCCATTAAACCGAAGATATTACCATTTGGGAACACATGCCATCACAATGGTTTAAATCTTTTTGAATATTAGTTATCCATATATTCTTATCTACCCAGTCTCTTGATTTTTGAAAAGATTTCACCTACAGTAGAATATTACAGAAACAAAATATAAATGCATGTCTTTCTAAATGAAACTTACATGGACTAAAACTAGAGAATATTTTTAAACAAATGTACAATATGCAGGCAGACAAAGCAGGAAAACGGCCATTCAAATGTATAATAATAATTAAAAAAAAAAAAAAAACTAAAAATTGACTATTTCCAGAAAACTACGAAGCGCCTCAACTAAAAGGAATGCATAATGAAATTCTAATCTAATACAGGTCAAAAATGTAAAAAGGTTATAAACCTTAACAGGAAAAATAAAACAACTTTTACTGGCCATTCCTGTTGAAATGAGAATCGTAAAGTAACAGAAAAGTGGCTACAAACCCACTTAGAGCACCAAACAGAGAGAAAACAAAAGTCCATTTTCATCTCTGTTATTATCATAAAATCCTGTGTAACTACAGGTCAAACTGCTGGTGGCAGAAACAGAATTCTTTATAAACTGCAGATGTCCTGTACATAAAAAAATTTCACTGGAGTTGCACTAGTTCTAAAGACTCTTCTGTTTTAGCCTACCTACTGTATGTATTCAATCTGAGATAGATAAAGTCTCTTTCTGTAACCCTTGATCATTATTGGGCACCAAAGATAAGAAAAGCAAGACGGGGTACAAAAATGCAAAATTTCAACAGTAATGGCAATGTTTTTGTCTTAGTCCAAAAGGGTCCTGCATTCTCTCCCCCTTCAGTGATTGGACAAGTCTTTGTATTTAATCTGGGGGCAGCAAATCATGCAAGCGAAATCTGTCTCTGATGTGAGGTCGGACATCTTCATTCTGTGGAAAAAAGACAATTAAAAAAAAAAAAAACCCTTAATTTCAAAGATAAGACTCTTGTATCATTACAAACATTCTCACTTTTACAGGGAAAATTTACCACTACTGTACTTTTTGGCTTAATACTATTTTGCTTGCCAAATACAGTCAGCCTTCTATATCCACAGTTTCCACATCTGTAAATTAAGCCATTATTGGATTTAGGGGAAAATAACGGCATCTGTACTGCACGTATAGACGTTTTTCTCTCATCATAAATCCCTAAACAATGCACTAAAACTATTTACATAGCATTTACATTGTATTAGGTATTATAAGTAATCTGGAAATAATTTAAAGCCTTCGGGAGGATGTGTATAGGTTACAGCAAATACTACTCCTCACTGTGAAAGGGACTTGAGCATCTGCAGGTTTTGGTCAGCAGGGGATCCTGGAACCAACCCCTATTGGATATCAAGGGATGACTGTATAGATACAAGACAGACACAGTTAACTCAAAATTTTAAAATTTTCATTAAGGTTTCAATACTGTACAATCAAACAATAGGCTAAACCAATAGATATAGAAGAGTTAAGCCACTAAATTCTACTTTCTATATTTATCTTAAAACTGAGTGACCCAGGAGTAGAAAAATAATTCCTAGAATAAAGATTCAATGACATAAGCATTAACTCTAGATATGAATTATGAAAACAAAATAGAATCACTTTGGTATTATTGTAAACACTACTTAGTGACTTGTAAGAGAAAGCCCACTGAAACAGTGAAACAAAATTATTCAATCTATAAACTTTTAAATACTGATAGTTATAATTGTAATATAAATTATTATGCTCACAGAGACCAATAGTGGAAGACTAGGGTTTAGAACCTCAGGTGAGACTGTACTTCATTCTTTCTAAGCCCCATTCCTTTCCCAAAAGAGACACATTATTTATGATGCCTTAGAGCAGCCCTGCCTCCAGCCCAGGATTCTCTGACAAGCAGGGACTCCTTCTCCAAGCCTCTTGGGTCTTCCCAATCCCTATCCATTTTCCTCGTGTATCACTTCTTTCTTTCTCTAGTCTTTTGGGCCAATTTACTGGTCATAGCTTAATTTTCCATGAATACCAATTGTGTCATTAGGGAGCTTTCTTTACCCACCCACTCCTGCTGACCTCCCACTAACCCGGATCTTGGCAAATACAGGTGATGATGGAACTTTGACACCTCTGCCCCAAATCCCCACTAGCCCACTCTCCAGGTGACCCTAAGTCCCCACCACACAAAACCCAGCTCCTCCATCTCTGTAGAACACTGAACAGTTTGGAGGAAAGCTTCCACAGTGGTTTCTGTGACTCTTTAACAGTAGGGAAAGAACTGTAGAAAAATTAAAACCACGTATTTTGGCTCCCTGAAGTGAATCCCAATCCCTAGTATGTCCTGCACCTCTGGATTCACAGACCAAGGCCAAGCTCATTTCCTAGGCTTCCATTAAGGCCCCTGGAATGGCATACTTGGTACTTTTATCTTTGTGCATTTTATTACAAAGGACTGCAAATAACCATAGAGATACTTCATCTCTTCAGTATGTAAATTGTACATTTTATTTTGGGGGAGCATAGTACTGGGTACTGGACTGAGGGCCACTACCACTAGAGCTATGCCCTAGCCTCCCCCCTTTTTAGTCTTTGTTTTTGACAAAGGGTCTAACTAAGTTTGCCCAGGCTGGCCTCGAAATCACACTCCTCCTGCCAGTGCCACTATGCCCAGCACAGGAAACTTTTCTTTTTTAAAATAAAAATAAGTCTGTCTGATTGCTGCACAATTATATTAAAAGTTTTATACAAAAAAATTTATAATCTTTTTCAACCTTTGCCCCAATTTCCCACCGCAGTTAACTTTATTTAATTAAAAGTTGGCCTCAAACTCTCAATCTTCCTGACTCAGCCAGGTACAGACTGCTCACACCTGTAATACTAGCTACTCAGGAGACAGAGATCAGGAGAATCATGGTTTGAAACCAGCCTGGGCAAATAGTTTGAGAGACCCTGTCTTGAAAATACCAACGTAAAAAAGGGCTGACAGAGTGTCTTAAGTGGTAGAGTGCCTGCCTAGCAAGCATGAGGCTCCCAAGATCAAACCTCAGTGCCATCTCTGCCCCTCCCCCCCACAAAAAAACCTTCCTAACTCAGTCTCCCAAGTACTGGGATTACAGGCATAATCCACCATGCCCAGCTCACAAGTTTCTTAAATCAGTACACATGGCCAGGTACAATGGCTCATACTGTACTCCTTGCTAATTGGGAGGCAGAAATCAAGGTCAGTCCACGCAAAAAAGTTCATGAGACCCCATCTTAACTGATTTAATAAAAATCTGGGTGTAGTACTTGGGAAGCTTAAACAGAAGGATGGCGGTTCAAGCCATCTAGGGCATAAACACAGATCCTATTCAAAAAGTAGCTAAAGCAAAAAGGACTGGAGGCATGGCTCAAGAGGTAAAGCACTGCCTAGGAAGCACAAGACCCTGAGTTCAAACCTCAGTACTGCCCCCCCAAAAAGTGTACCTAATACAAATACTTATTCAATACAGTTGTGCTAACAAATGAGCTAACAAAATCACAAAGGAAAAATTATCAAGTATACTTACCAGTTCTACAAGCTTCTCCAGAAATGGAATCAATTTTAGGAGTTCATTGTCATTTTTATCCATAAACCAGCTTTCTATAGGGATTCCATTAGAAAGCTAAAACAATAAATAAGTAATTAAATCCTCTTTTTACTTGTATTTTGCCAAATCTGGAAAAGTTCTAAAAAGAACAGATTTAAATAATCACTGATCTAAAAAGTTCCTTTGAAGAGGTATGTTGACCAGTTTTCTTTAACAACTCAATAATGCAAGACACAGGTGGTTAAGGAATAAATTGAAGAATAATTTTTCAGGGTCACTTTTTCTTAATAAATGCAAAGCTAAATAAGAAAGTTCCATTAAAACAAGTTTTGGAAGGACCATTAATGTATCTAAAAACATTCCTTTATTAAGGAAATAGTTCCTTTGGAGGAGAGGGAATAAAGGAGGATGGAAGAAGTGAATTCAACTATGATGTATTGTAAGAACTTTTGTAAATGTCACAGTGTATCCCCAGTACAACAATAATATGATAATAAAATAGATAAGTAAAATAGTCTAAGAAAATATTTCAGAATATTAAATCAAATGGACTAGAACATGGGTAAGCACACTGTAATTTTCAAGCATGTTTATAGTAAGTTACAGATTTAATAACTGATAAGAATGCTATTAAGTGATTTATCATCTTATAGCGCCTCCTCATTCTGATTTACTACTCAGATTTTCTTCATTTATGTTGTACTTCAAGTAAAAAAAAATTTTCCATAAGCAATATACCAATTTGGCATTTCTAATTCTAAAAAATGACACACTAAACAGGATAATTCAACCAGTGAAAATTCTATTTTTCTCTCATATTCTGTTTGGAAGAATTTGTCTTTGTTATATTTTTTCCAATCTGAGTTTGTTCAGCAATATTCTTCCTACCTGATATGCAAAGGCTTGTGGTGAGTTGTCAATTATTATAGTTTTTGAAAGATCCCTTCCAAGGATATTTAAGTCCTTTATATAGTTTCCTTGTACACAAACACAATGTTCACGGAAAAGCCGATGCCTAAACATAAAAATGAAAACAAATTAACTTAAAAGAAAATCTCTAAAAAGTACTACAAATATTGAAACATACATATACCATGGGCTTTATAGATTAAGCCTTATTATGTTCTCTCTCAAAGAAAATTTAAATACAAACATTGGGCCTAAGCTTTGGGCTACAACTTTACTATAAAATTTTTTAGTAGTTATTGAAACTTTACAACCATATATTACCATGCCTTAAAGAAGTTTGGTTTATCCCAAAATGTCATATTAAATTACAAGGGAGGATTAAAAATTCTAAGTTGTTTTTGTAATTTATTTACCCAGGAAAGCTCAGCTCAGATGCAGCATCTGGTTGTCATCGAGGTCCTGCTTTTTAACCAATTTTCCAGATGGTTGACTGAGGCACAAGTGACTTGCCCAAGGTCACACAGTAAGTCAGTGGTTAGCCCCGCATTGGAACCCAGGATCCTCCTGGTTCCCAGTTCTTTGCTCTAACCAGTAGACCACACAGCCTCCCTATCCCTGTACATGCCAGAATAGAAAATACAAGAAGGAATGTTTTTGTATTGGTGTTTAAAATTTTTTTAGTTTTCCTTATAGTTTTTGAGAAGAGGTGCTGTGAGGCCAAAACATTCCATCATTTCAACTTTTCCAAATACCTCAACTTCTTCTAATTTGGGGTACATGTGTGTATATGATCATTTTGAATACAGGGTATAAATGAAATGGTAAATTCAGATTTAAGTATTAGAAATGTAACCTGGTATTTCACCAACTTAGAAACTAAATACAAAATTGCTGTAAATGTTTTAGAAGCTATGAAAGGTTTTACAATAACACTTACATACTATAGTAATTATGCAATCCTCATTTACAATCAAAATACTAGTATCTAAATATTACTAATTGAGCCATTATATTCATTTTTTTCACCCTGAAATACTATATTCTATATACCTTAACTGATGATTTGTCTTCCTTGTTTCTTAAGCCTATCAAACAATGTTTTAGGAGCAAGGGACTATTCATGTCTGTGTTTTTCAATAAAGGAGTATTTTCTACCCACAAAATATGTCAGAGCCTGACAAAAGCTAAATAACTTAACACATAAATACAACCTTAAAAGCATAAGTGCAATAGTAATGGCAAAGAATTTTACAAACAGACAGAATGCATGGTTTTTTGTCCCTTCATTATACTGAATACCTTTATTTAGTGAAATGATCACCTGCCTCTGGAAGGTTTAAAGACAGTTCTATTTTATAAAAATGGTAATATTCTATTAATTTTTTGTGGTACTGGAATTTGAACTCAAGGCTTCTGCAGGAGCTCTACCACTTGAGCCACTCCACCAGACCTTTTTTGTGTTGAGTTTTTTCCAAAACAGGATCTTGAGAACTATTTGCCAGGGGCTGGCTGGCTTTAAACCATGATCTTCCTGATCTCTGCCTCCTGAGTAGCTAGGATTATAGGCATGGGCCACTGGAACCTGGCAGATAATTTTATTTATATAAACATTTAGATATGAGGAAACTGGGGAGGCAAAATTCAGCATGTGAACTTGTTGGAGTCCTCTTGCCAATAGTGGCAAACTATTAAGAAGGCAACTGAATATGTATGTGGATCCTACAGTTACTTTAAATTACACTAAAAACTCTGCAGTTATTCAAGAATCTGAAGGGTTAATAGGATGTATTTGCAGTTTAAGAAAAAAACGTGTTCCAGTTTTCTAATAGCAGATCCTCCATGTAAACAAGTTTGCATTTAAATTCAGGGGATTCAGATATCAACAACTTCTTGGTCTACCTTGTAACTAGCAGATAATCCCTACAGCACTCTAACTCTAATTGGTCCAAAAAGCTTTTTTGTTGTTTCAAGTTTAAAACAAATTTAAACTCCCAAATGTGTAGATTTTATAAATCTACATTTTAAAAAGGGTAATGATTTATATAACACATTGTAACAGCATGCGTATGACTTGTTCCTTCATAAACTGAAAGCTCTGAGCAGGAAGGGCTCGTGCTGTTTACTAGTGTTCCCTAGAATATTGGAGGTACTGAATAGAAATCTTCAGAATGAATAAAGTAATCAAAGCAAATCATTTGTAAAGCCTTATTAAAGTCAGGTAAAAATGAGTATAAATCATAATATACTTTTTGTGAACAGAAAATACTACTCTTATTTTTACTTCTGTAGCTTATTTTGATCCTTTAGTTTAAAAGTATCATAATTTTAGTCAGAAGGAAAACACCTCTAAAATGTGGACATTAGGAAAAACCTTTCTATATAGTTGTAACTACTCCATAATAAAGGTATTACCAACAGGACAAAAGCTTAGGATTTTTCACTAAGACAACATGGAAGACAGTATCAAGAAAATAGCCAGCCAAGCATGTATGAATATTTTGTATCATCTCTCTCTGCTCCTGGCCAAAAACTCAGAAGACTACTCCATCTTAGAAGATGCAGCAAGATGGCTATAGTCTTAACTGAAGTATCATTTCAGTTGAAAGAAACACTGGAAGTAATTTTCAAAATGTTTTAAAAATCACCCAAGGCACTCCTATAAGGCATTCCTAAGGAATACAATGCATCTATTGGTTCAAGGCACATGCAAGGAACTGAGCCCAGATCAGGAAAACCTGAGTGATTTTATTTTCTATTTAGATTCATGTAACATTTTCTGCCCAGGAATGATAAACTGGCTCTTGGAAAAAAAATCAAAAGTTTCATTTGATCTTTTCTGCTAAAATTAACATTTCTTTATGGGATTAAAAAGGTACTATATAACATGCATTATCTCAGACATAAGGACGTAAAACATGCATACAGTGAAAAATTCCATACCACCCCCCCATTCCAAAAGAAATGAGGATATAGATGTCACAGTGAATAAACAGATTTGATCTTTGTATCTTTAAAGAACGTCTGTCTGGAGTTATATAATTAAGAACTCCTAAAGAGGTTCTGGGGCTTTAAAAATTCACTTATTTTCACCATTCAACACAGTAAATCTCTATATACCAGCCAATTGAAAATAGCCATTGAAATTAAATAGAATCATAATAATAGATCAGTGTGACAGACATTTCCACTATTTCTTAATTAAATTTACCTGACCAGTTGCTTTTTAGGGTCTAGTATGTTCAGTAACTTGTCTGCATACACCTTCTTAGAAGCAGTAAAAAGAATGATCTACAAATTCAGGGAAAAGAAGTAATCATTATACATGATCTAAATATGGGAACTATATTGAATAAAATGAAAATACTTATTTAATGAGCTTCAGCACATTTACCTCATACATCTGAGACATTCGTTCCAGGAATTCCCTGAAGAATGGTCTTAATCTCACATAAACCTGAAGAAATACAAAGATAGTTTTTAGGAAATAAACAAAATTGGAACCACTTATTTTTAAGATGTATTGTGCTCTAACTTTACGTATAATTAAAAGGTTCACATTTTAAAATAACAAACTTTTTCTAAGTACCACTCAAAATATATTTCACATGTAAGAAATTATTTAAAACAGTCTTTTAGTGGGATAATCATTACTGGTGATCATTTAACTTTAAATAGTTAAATGAAAGCATACAATGTAACAGTACTTCATTGGAATGTAATTTTAATAAATATTTAAACTAAAAATAGAAGGTTTCCCTCTGAGACTTTGATCCACCAATCAGCTCCCATCTTCCAGCCAGGTAGCATCCATCCAATTATTAGGCAGGCTGTGTGTCCACCTCTAAGCTGATCTGTCTCAATGACCTTCTTCATTAATTACTCAGAATTTCTTCTCAACAATCACTAAAGATATACCTTGACTTTAAGTTTCTATTAAAGTAAATAACATTCAATGAGATGTCTGAATTGGTGGGTTTAAATGACGATTTTTCGAAACTCAAACTTGTTCTTCTATATTTAACTTAGAACTATTGGGCTACTTGAGATTACAAATCTAACGAACACACCAGTTCTCAACACCTAGTCAATATCAGGAAAGACTATAGTACCTAAAGAACTGCCTGAATATGTATATTAGTTTCTTACTTCCATGTCTAGCTTCTTGCCCAACATTTAATGTTGCTCTCGTAATACACTGCAGTATTCAAAAAGCACAGAAATGTAAGCCAAGAGAAACCACTAAAACCATATACAAAAGGTTTTGACTCCTCTAAATTGTATTCAGGTTGTGATTATTTATTTATTTATTTATTTATTTTGGGTAGCACTGGGGTTTGAACTCAGGGCCTTATGCATGTTATGCAGGCATTTGTTAGGTTAGCCACATCTCCAGCCCTGTTTTGTGTTGGGTATCTTTGAGATAGGGTCTGGCTTCAAACCCTGATCCTCTGATTGCTGTCTCCCAAGAAGCTAGGATAACAGGAGTGAGCCATAGATGCCTGGCTTGTGACAAAAATTTTGTAAAATGAAAATTTTGTATTCCACTGAAACGTCACTATTAACTTCAAATACTATGACTAACAAATATGTCTCAATTCAGATTCAGTGAATTCTGATTAAAAAAAAAAAAAAAAAGCCTGTGATGGCTACAAATCTAATTCAGGCTTAGTGGAGTTTAATTCTGACATCCACAGAAAAATGTCCCCATGACAAAAATCTCAGTTCTGGGGATGTTTTATGGCAAAACAAGAAAAGCATGCAAAGGCTTCTGAGAGGCAGGGACAACATTTTACCAATCTTTGTAATTTACAAAGCCCAAAAGCCATAAACAATGCCAGATATATAGCAGTCGCTTGATAAAACTCAAGTAAATTAAAGAGAATTTTCTATAGTTAGGCAATATAGGACCAAAAGAAGTACATGAGTACACAAGTACTATAGAATTTCCTTAACTGACCACTTGTAAAGGCAAATTTTGAATGATAGGCTAGATTATTTATTTCTAATGTTATTAATCAGGCATATTATCTTATTTTTTGGGGAGATTGGGATTTGAACTCAGGGCTTCATGCTTACAGAGCAGGCACTGTGCCACTTGAGCCACGCCTCCAGTCCATTTTGCTCTGGTTATTTTGGAGATGGGCTCTGGCAAACGATTTTCCTGGGGTCTCCTAGAACCACCATCCTCCTAATACCAGCCTCCCAAGTAGACAGGATTACAGGTATGAGCCACAAGCACCTGGCTTAATTTCTTGGCTAATCAAAACTAAAACAAGCCACTTACTACTCCTAACAAATAAAAATGGCAAAATCATTATCACTTAGGATGAGGTATAAAAAATGTAACTGCATTTGCTCTTAAAATCAATTTTAACATTTCATCCTAAAAAGTTTGGTATAGTTTATAGCTTTGATTGAAAACCACATAATGATTGGTTTTAATATATTTTGCTGGCAAAATCATTTTTATTAACTGTGTGTCTTTTCAAGATAGATTATCATTTGTTCCTAAAGTAAACTAAGATAAACAGGCCTTGGTAATTTGGGATTTGTTTCCTGTGTACACACACATTTCCATTACAGAGGAGTATCTCTAAGCTCGATTTTCCAAGCATAAAAAGCAGAACATTGTGCAAAAGTGACATTTTCAGGTTGGGAGTACAGCTTAGTGGCAGAGTGCTTGCATGGCATGCATGAGGCCTTGAACTGAATTCCTAGCAAAGGAAAAAAAAAAAAAAAAAGGCAGGGGGATGTAGGGGAGAACAGAAAAAGAAAAGTCACAATTTTCAGTGACTTCCAGATTAGGTCAAAACTGTAACTTCATCGTGCATACCTTCGAATACATTTATTTTTAACACACGTTATAATTGACAAAGTCAATTCAAAGTCTTTCAAAATCTGTTTACTGGGGATGAAGGTGGTGTAAAGATGGAGGAACAACTCCTAGAGTATTTCTTTACCATGAGAAGAACAGAAGGTGAAAGTGCTGACTGTAAAAGTTTTCTATCCTAAGCCAGATTTACCATTTAAACAGAATGGTGTTTCAGGAGGATTAAAAGACATAGACACTGAGGTAGTTAGCAGGAAAAAAAAAAAAAAAAAAGATACAAAGTAACAGTGATAGGGTCTGAGCTTCTTGCCATGTAATACAAGGCAAAAGTCTCAGAAGCAGAGGTAGACATAAAGTTATAATCTAAGCAGGGTGTAAGTCACTTGGATATATTACAGGTAAACATGAAACCTAGTACCGCCAAAAGGAGGGGAGGGGAGTGGTGATAGAAAAATATACTTGTCAAGAAATACTATTCCATAAGAACAAATAAAGGTATATGTAATATAAGGAGTTTAATTGTTGAGACTAACATTACTTATTGTATTAGATCACAGAGATGCAAACATATACACACAGCTATGCCACTAAATGCTTCAAAATCTATTCCCCAAAATACCATCAGCTCCATTTTTCTTCTAACTTTACTCTCAGGTTCCTGTACTGAGCCACCTGCTTCCTAGTTTCAAAGAACCATCCTCCTTCAAACTTCTAACTAGAAACTATGTAGTCTCCCAAAGACCAAAAGATTCATTTCAGTCTAACATACCTATATTCTTCTCAACCCAGTTACTGCTGTATCTATGCTACAAATAGTTTAATTTTTTCTCAATAAACCAAATTTATTTTGAAAAATATGCCAGTAATACTCAATGGTACAATAAACAATTACTATATGCAAGTACAAGATTTACTACTACTAAAGATAGGGATTTGTGAGTATTTACATTATGCCAAGCCTTTTTTTTTTTTTGGGTGGCACTCTGAGATTTGAACTCAGGGCCTAATGCTTACTCAGCATATGCTCCTACTGCTTGAGCCCCTCTGCTAGCCCCCAAACTTTTTTTTATTTTTTATTTTTGAAGTACTAGGGATTGAACCAAGGACCTCTTACTTGTTAGGCACACACTCTGCCACTTGAGCTTTGTCCCTGAGCCCTCTGCCAAACTTCTATAATAAAAATGTACTAGAACAGACAGGCATAATGGCTCAAGCAGTAGAATGCCTGCCAAGCAAGCAAGAGGCCCAAACCGCGGTACCACCCTCCCCCAAAAAACCTATTAGAATATCTGAAAAATAGTGATAATGGAGCTGATTTCACATAATCTGTTGTGTATGGATTTTACCAGAATTTAAATTTTATACAGAAAAGCAATAAATACATGATTTTGGAAAAGAGCAACATGTTTACAGTACAATAACACTACTTGATATGAATAGCTGACTTTCTGCACTTTCCTTGGTAGTAAGATAATGAAAATTTTCTAATGTGTATAGATAGTACTAATAGGCCATTAATGGTTAACAGAACTCAGTTTTATAAAAGTTGTCATTAAAATAAAAATTGGGGGGGGGGTAGAGCACCTGACCAGCAATAGTAAGGCTCTGAATTCAAAACCCTATTGCAAAAATAAATATGTAAAATTAAAAACAAAACCACTTATAAAATACTGTGTGGTTAAGTTTTTTCAAATCCAAATTCACTTGAATGGTTTCTGATTTTTAGTTTATCAAACCGTCATCTGTTGTCATAATAGTATGACCAAAGAATAAAACAAACAAAAAAACTCTAACCAAACAGTTTCAACCTGTCAGCAAATAGCTAAGAAAAAGTTATACATGAGTCATTTTAAGAAAATATTTCTATATGACTTTTAAGCCCAGACTATATGAGTGTAACACTGAAAAAGAAACATCAAAAGCTTTAATACTTTTTTCATGGTATCTTTTGAACTTACTGCTACTTTATAGTAATAGGTTTTAAAAATGATAAATTCGTGGAGATCAGGGGTAAGTGTGTGCTTAGCATCACAGGGCACAGGGTTTGATCTTCACCACCAACAGGGGAGAAAAGGAAGAAGAAAGAGGTAAATTCAGTAGAACTCATCTACCTAAGAGTATGACATCTTGCAAGGGCTGGTGGTACGCTGTGCCTGTAGTCCCAGCACTGGCGTGAATCTCCAGAGTTTGAAGCCAGTCTGGGGCTAAACAGTGAGACTGTCTCAAAAAAAAAAGAAAAAAGAAAGAAAGGGGGGTGACCAATGTTGGGGATTTTGAAGAGTGAAATGTTATAATTGTGAGCAAGTATACTAGGTATACTAGTGGCTCTGCCAATTTTTAAGTCTTCTGCATGCCTTAGTTTCCTTCTCTATAAAATAGATATAACATACCTACACCACATAATGTGACTGTGAAGCCTGAATAAATTAAATATGTAAAGCATCTGGAACAGTGTCCAACACATTTAAAGTACCAAAAACTGTTAGCTAATCAGTCAAAAGGAAAATACAGTATGATTCTATGAGGTAGAACCATGCAACCCCAATTCCAAAGAGAAAGCCCTATAGCTACAACCAACACTTTTTGAAGAGAGAAAATAGTAATCGTCAGTGACAGCTTACTCA